TATATATATATATATATATATATATTAATTTTTTTTTCTTAACTTTTTTTTTTAAATTTTCTAGTGAAGTTCTTATTGAATTAAAAAGTGTTAAAAAAATTTATACTATATATGGAATTAAACCATAAAATAAAAGTATCTATAAAATTACAATCAAGTTATAATATCAAACTATATAAAATTACGATCAAGTTATGATATCAAGCTATATAAAAGTAAATGTATTAATTTACATAGTTGTTATTTTATTTAGTTACAATATACCGACTCACATTTAATTATTTATTTAAAGTTATTTCTTTAATTTTTATTTTATTTTATTAAATATTATTTTAAATATATTTTTTATACTTTGAAAATATACATATAATAATAAAAATAAACTAAAAGTAAATATTTTTTATTAAATAAACAGATAAAAAAAATTACTTATATGCTCACTTATTATTTTTATAATTTTTTATATGTTTGAATGATATGAATATATTATTAGTAAAGAAAAATATACATATTTTTTAATAATCATAACGTGATTATTGAAAATGTCAAAAGAATTTATTACTTAAGAAAAAGTCTTGAGTTTCATCAATGAGTTGAAACCGAACTAATCTATAACTTGTTTTGGAATAAAAAAATATTATGAATTGAGTGAATATTTAGATAATTCAAAATAATGTTATGATCTACCATATTTATATTCATATCTTTAAAAGTATATTTAGAGTGTTAAAAATTATTTTATAAATGTATTATATAACATCCAAAAAATATAGCATAACTATATTATAGAATAATCACATATAATAATATGATACATCAATTATTTAAGAGGTTTAAGTATTTAACACTACAATTATCCCAAAAATAACTATAAAATTAAACCTTTCAACTACCACCTAATCTATTACAAAACTATGTACAAGACCGAACGGTCTGTACTATACTGGTGGGTCTTCTTCTTCCAGAGTTTGTTCCACTGAAACCTTCTCTTCTTCTGCTCACACTCACAAGATATGATCATTGCAAAAGAAATAAACGAACAACAACATAAACAAGACAGAAAAATAGGGTAAGTTAGTGTAATTTAATATGCACGTTAATATTCCACTTAATAAACAAATAAAATACTCAAACACATGCATAAATCACATAAACAAATAATAATCAACTACCTTACTTTAGACCGTCCAGACTGGTATGAATATGTAGCTATGACTGTTCATGCACTCGTTGTGGTGAAACAGCTGGACCACCCCAAGCTACCACACAAGGTTAGCCCGTTATTTAACGAGTAGGGCTCAAACACAAGACCCACAACACACAAACATGATCGAACGGTCATTTAACGAGTAGGGCTCAAACATGAGCCTAACACAGTTTGAGGACTGAATACTATAATTAAACCGAACACTTATATTTTAGAAAGAACATTATTGTCTTGGACCAAATGTCATTGGCTTAGGCCGAACACTATTGGCTTAAGCCAAACACTATTGAAATAAGATACAAGAACAATATTGAGTATTATGACGAGTCCTCATACTTAGTACAAGATCGAGCACTACTGAGACCGAGCACTACTGAGACAGTACATGACCGAGCGGTCAATAACAGTTAAAGCCTATGATAGAATGAAAGTTGTTTACAATCAAATGTTATGTCTAGACCGACTGTTATATTCACTTGAATATCAACACGAGACCGATCTGTCATTAACTAAGAATCCACAAAAATAGAACTCAGTTAAGACCGAGTACCCGAGAGAAGTCGAACGGTCAATTAAAGACCCTCAGCGAACTACATAATTCTGCAGAATAACTGCAGAATTATGATCAACACCAATCTTTACCAATTTCACTACAATCTTCCAACTTCTAATCCTCCAAACATATATTAAATACTTCATTTACACTTGATTAATATTGCTTAAATCTTTCTAACATCATTAAGAAAGTTTCATCACAGATTTGAGATTCAATTTGAGATTCAATTATGCAGAATCATGAACTCAATGACTGAGAATTAGATTTCCTATACAGACCAAACTCAAACCGAACACATTTCTCCCATTTTCACTACCACACTTCCTTCCAATTTCACTCGACCACTGAACCATAATCATGCAGAAACACAATCATCATGAATACAACATCAATATCCCACACCAATAGTACAAAACACCAAATCATTCAATTTTACATACATGCAACATCATCAAACAACATTTTCATACATATGAATGCATAATTAAATTAACTAGTTTCCCTTACCTCTTTGACCGATTAGAACAACAATTAACTTTTTTCCAGAATTTGCTTTCTCACCAGAAAATCCTATGAACACCCTCTCAAACACATGGTGAAAGATGAAGTACTTGACGCCAGGAAAACTCAGGCATTATTTAATTGATGATCATATAACACTGAACGAGTATTTTTAGAGAGATTTTTAGAGAGAATGAGGAGAAAAAGAAAAACTCAGAATGTTGAAGAGAATGAGTGCATGCAAAAAAGTGACATGAAATTTTGAAAAACTCAATTATAAACTACCGTCAAAAACCGATCGGCCCAATCGCATGCACCCACCTATCTTCCGTTACCTCTGATTTTTCTCGGTCCTGTCATATTCACTTTCTTTTATAATATATTAAAATTAGAAAAAAAATATTATTTTTAATTACATATTAATTTTTACATATATTAGAAAACAAATTGGGGGGTAATGCCCTTTCATTTACCACAAGAATATGCTATCGTTCATACTTAATATTATCAAAGATAAACAGTAATTATATATCTCATTTTTGAAGGAATAAATATTAGTATTATCGATAAAAATATGTATTATTCTACTAATATTGTTTATAGATAAATACTCAACTATCTAATTATTTCTCAAGATAATTTTTTATATTCATCTAAATCAAAATATGGGCCTAGATCTAAGATAAGATAAACATAAATATTATAATTGTAGATAAAATCCTAAGTTTCAATTTACTATATTGTATATGGTTACTAATATTGATGTTTAAACTTGCACAAATCTTATTCTTTTTTCTCGTGTTTCTCTTTCATGTATATCTGCAGTTTGAGTATAAGTAAAACTTCCTTAATAAAAATTAAAAAATTTAAAAAAAAAACTTCTTTAAAACATTGACCAAATGAAAACTTGGTATTAATATTTTTCAAAGATATTAAAAATATAAATAATTATGCATTCTAATATGAAACCCTTTTTATATTATAAAAAAATATTTTTTTAATATATTATGAATTATTATAAAATGTAAGATATATAATACTTATATTATTATTTATATCTACTCTCTATTTCTAATTAAATATTAATTGTTTATAAAACAGTCAGAATATTATACATAAATAATGTGTATCCATTAATAAATATAAAATAAAGTATTTAAGGCATATGTAAGTGACGGGTATGCACACCTTTTCTTTATTGTCTTTCCGCCTTTAATGTTTTGTCATATTTACTACAAAAACTATGAAAGAAGAAAAAATTAAAAAAACGAGATTTGTTAAAAGGAAAGGAAGAAAATAAGGAATATAAAACACTACCAAATTTAATTAACGTGAAAAAAAACTAAATTAAATATAATAAATTATCATAAAAGAATTTATTTTTATTTTAATATTTAACAAAGAGTTAGGTCCGGAGTCGCATAATGTCTACTCATTAATCGATTGCAACAAAAACATTCATTTATCATTGTATGAATATTCATTTAAAAAATATCTACATATACTTTGAAATCTATGAAATAATTAAGTACTAGTAAATATTTAATAAAATATTTTTTATAAATTTTAAAATAAAATTAAAATTAAATTATAAAAGAACATATAAAATATAATTTAAATTAAATTAAATTTTAATTAAAATTTAATTTTAATTAAATTTAAACTAATATAATATAAATTAATTTTAATTTTAATTAAAATTAATTTAACAAAATATAAATCTTTTTTCCAGATAACAAATACTTATAAATAGAAATATTATAATATTTACACTTAATCTATCTATATTAACAGATATTAAAATATCTCTTATTAGTTGATAATAACTTATTAGTTGATAATAAATACATGTATATATCAACTGTTACGGATTTTATTTTCATAGATACTGAGAAATACATGTATATTTGTCATACTTATGTAAATTATGTACAAATATAATTGAAATTGAAAAAACAATTAGTCACTTTTGAAAATAAAATTTAAAATTTAATTTAATTAAATTTAGAAATTTAAGTTATATAGATAATTAATATAAATTGTGTTCAATTTTTCTCCATATAAAAAGTTATGATATAATAAAAAAAATTTAAAAAAAAAGTACACAGAATTATCTATGGATCTACTACGTATTAAAATATGGCATCATGTGTACCATTCACTTAAAGAATATTCAACGGTCAAATTTTTTGTTTGGTAGTTTTGTACTTTAGAATAGTCCAAGTTTTGTTTTTATGCATAATTAATTATTTAAGGATACTATATACTATTCTGTAAAACTAATTGAAAAAATTATTTGATCCAATTAAAATATATTTAAAATCTAATTAAAAAACATATTGATAAATAAAAGGTAATATAAAAAAACTATTTAATAATTACAAAAAATATATTACATTAAAAAATGTATAAAAGTAAATTGTAAATTATTTAAATAAATTTAAGTCAAATACTTAACTTGCTATGTACTCTTAAGCCTCCAATTTCGTCCTTATCACAAGGGAAAGTGCTGTGCTTTGGGTATAGGTTTGCGAACGAGTTCGGACTTTGCGAGTTGACCCAGTTCAGGCGCGGTTCAGTGGAGAGGAATCGGATCTTCGGTTCTGGATTCAGATCTCGAGGCTTTGCTGGCGGCGCCGAAGAAGGAAGCGGAAATGAGACGGTGGATTATGCTTTTTATTTAGGTGTTTCGCAATTGGGGTTACGAAGAGTTTGTTTGACTTGATTCTAATAAACAATTTCAGGATACTTTTAAGTAAAACAAATAATAAAATTATCATAATAAGTATTAACAATTTTCTTTTCTACTTTATATTTTGAATTGATTCTATCGATATAATTGTATGCTTTATATCTCTTTATACGTAAAAGAATTGTTTAAATACACGTATTATAGAAGTTAAAAAAATTAATTATACTAACTCTTTGTGTTTAAACAAATTTTAGATATATAATTAATCCATCATTTTATACCCAATATTTATTTTTTCTTTTGAAGGTAATTAATTATATTAAGAGTCACGTGGTTAATACTTTTCTTTTAGGTAATACCTTTCTTTCAGGTAATCAGATTTCCGAATCCAAATTTAACACGTGTTGGGTATAGGTAGTGTTTATACACTACTCTATCATGTCTAAAAGAATTGTGGTTCTTATTAGTCACATTATTCTCTGACTATATGTAAAAATTACAAATTTTTAATACTCGTGATATTTATGTATACGTGTAAATATTATATATATATATATATATATATATATATATATGGGTTTAGCATATGCCTTTTTAGATTTTAACAATGTGTATCGGATTTTAGTAGACAAAAATACTTTTATATATTATGGATTTTGTTAAAGATATTTTAATAAATTTTATTCTCAAAACTAAAAAAAAACTCTCAAACTCTTACTCACGTCTCTCATTTCTCTCAATCTTTCTTTTTCATCTCTCTCACTCAAACATTTTCCTTTTCTGTCATAACTCCAGTTTAAAAAATCAGAAATACTTATTTTAAACAATCTTACAAAGAAAAATGACTTTATATTAATTATCATCTTAAACCCGAACGAATTTAAGGGTTTACTTATCATCATAATATAAAAATGCCTTTTTTTTTATTTCTTCTAATCAAAACTAACTAAAGAGAGAGGATTCTCAACCTCCAATTTCATCTCGAACAATAAAATTGATTTGAGAAAAGCACAAAAATATATAAAATTAATAAAGTGAAAAAGATAGAAAAACATCTGCTACAAAATTAGTTTAGTTTAACAAAACTGTAAATACCAGATGACATTTTTTTCTTAAATGTATTTAAAAGTAAAAAGTAAAATAAGGAGTTTGAAATATAAATATTGTTTTCAATGAAAGATAATTTATTAATAAAAAGAGAATGCGTTAAATCTACATACGGATTATTATTTTTTATTATTTTGTTTTCTCTTTCTATTTTGTTATATTTTATCGTTTCCCACTCTCTATATAAAGGGGCAACGCCTGAAGCAAAACGGAGCTGCAACACATTACGGAAAGAACGTTAGTCTCACTGAGAGAGAATATCTTCCGCCAACCCAAACGCTGCGTTTTGTTGCTGGAAAGCCTCATAGGTATGCTTCTCTTCTTTTAGATGCCCATCATCTTATGTTTTTTTCTGTTTTATATTTTTCAACTATCTTATTTATGCAATTTCTCTCTTATATTATTTTTACATATTAAAGAATTATTTAAATACATCTATATATACTTATACATATGTTATTTTAAGTATAATATGTATAAATTAAAATATTTATTTGATAGTCTTTTTTAGTATTTTTCTATGTTTAAATAAATTCTAAATATACTTGTGATTATAAATGTCATCTTATATTTTCTTCTATTATTTAAAAATGTCCTTAATAAATAGGTCAAATATTTATATCTAATATCTAATTTTTTAAATATAACTTAAATAGGATAAATATTATATAAATAGATATTTTTTTAACATAAAATTCATACATCAGTTTACAACGTTTTTATGCTATTTTTCTATCGTACAATATGTAAGAATATCAAATATTTTTTTATACTATCTACTCTAACCAAAATCAATTATAAAAACAGTAAAATCTTAAGAATATTAAAACTTTAAAACTAAAAAGATATCAACACATTAATATATTAAAATTTTAAAACTAAAGAGATAGAAACTTACGTAATCCTAATTTTTTAAAACATTCTCTCGTACCTTAAAAACCATTATTTTTTTCAGTAAATTTTCTTAATGGTGGTGACTCTGTTTTTTAATATTTGATCTGCGTGACTCCCTTCACGATACGTCATTCTGATTAAGGGGTTTTAATTTTTTACCAGGATTAATGGATATTTAAAAACATATTAAATATATCTCTCTCCACGTTACATATATAGCAAATACAGATGTTTCTCTTTCTAATTAATTATTATAATTATTTAGAAACAGACATTTGTGGCCCGTTCTAGTTCTATTATCACAACTTGAATGATATATATATATATATAGTTTGTTAACGTGTGTACTTTTGTTTTTTCAGTTGGTACATTTTAGTCATGTTTATCGGATTTTAGTAGACAAAAATATCTTATAAATCATGATTCTAAGTTTTAAGGTTAAGGATATTTTAATAATTTTCATTATCAAAACTAAAAAAACCCTCAAATCCTTACTCACTTCTCTCATTCCTCTTAACTTATTCTCTTTGATGTCTCTCACTCCAACCTTTCCTGTATCATCTCTACTACTGCGGCTTAATTTAAAAATGAAATTTAATAATAATAAGGGAAAATATATAACACAGTCCTCCAATCAAAAATCAACATCAACATCATCAATTATTTTGTTATTAAAGTAAAAAACAAATGAAGAAACAAAACAAGAGCAAAAAATTGTGGTGTCACGGGTTGTTGTGTGTGGGTGAGGGAGAGTATGAAGATGAGAGAAAAACAATTGAACAAGTGAGGAATGTGAATTAGGATTAGACAAGTGTTTATGATTTTTTTAATTGGGGCTACAGTAGTGATAACAGAGAAAATGTTGGAGTGAGAGAGATAGAAGAGAAAAGGTTGAGAGGAATGAGAGAGGTGACTAAGAGTTTGTGATTTTTTTTAGTTTTGAAAATGAAAATTATCAAAATACCCTGAACCTTAAAACTTAGAATCCATTATATATAAGGGTATTTTTGTCTATTAAAATCTGATACACATTGCTAAAATGTACCAACTGAAAAATAGACATATGCGCTAAGAAACCCATATATATATATATATAAAAATAAATTCAGTTCATAGTTCTTTCTATAATCAACAAAACCTTGTTTTGTTACAAAATGATAGTAAAGTCAAAACAATTATGAAACTGTGGAAAAGAAGAACGGTGAATTGTTTGAAAATTCAAAACTTGGTACTAAAATGTGAACAAAAAAAATTGAATGACAAAATGTAGGCGTAAGTCAACTGTATTATTTTGATAACTTTTTATTAGAAAAATAATGATAGGAATATTTCTTTATTACTTGTGAGAAAGGAATATTTTAAATGATAGGAAAAGTATTACAATGTATCTTTAATATTAACTTTTATTAATTACAGTTTTTTATTCACTTTACATTGAATATTTATTTAATAGTGTCCTTCACGAAAAAAGAATGTTTTAGTTGATAGAATAGTGTTACCATGTATCTTTTATGTTAAATTTTAATACTAATTATTAATTAGATTTTTTGACGTTTACGATTATCTTTTATTAAGTTTTCACCAAATATTTATTATTATCATTTATATTGAATATTTTTCTTAAATTGTGAATACATTTAGTTATATATTATTAATTTAGCAGTATGTTATTATAATACATTTAATTATTAATTAATATTATTTAATTTAGCAGTACTATGTGTACGTGTAACTTCTATCCTCTTAATACCATAATGGTATATAATTTCACTTTAGAACAAAAATTAAAAGTTAGCCAAATTGGCGAATGAAGGTAAAGCAGCTTCATATTAAATAATGTCAGCCTAATGAGCTAGGCTGCTTGGTTTTGGAGGAAAAGAACTACTCACTCAATAAATCCATTCATCTTCTTGCGTTGGTCATTATTTTGAATCAAATACAATTTTCACACAAAGGTTTACGTAAACTTCTTTATTCTATCATATTTCTATCCATAATGTGTTGTTATTTTAATATTCATGTTTTTCAATTTGATATCTAATTTGCATATGCATGTTATTCCCATCAGGATGGCTAATGTAGAGAAGAGTTTCCAGAGTTTCAGAACGTTGATAGTTGTAGCTTCTATAACTTTTCCCATTTTGATAATATTTTATCTCACACACCAAAATCCAATCTTTGATATCTTTCAAGGAATCCAGAATAATACTACTAATATTTGCGACTCAGTTGCAAGTAAGTACACTCTTTGAAACTTATATTCTTATTTTTCAAGTTCAATCTTGATATACTTATCGTAGAAAATTGTGTGATTTTGTTTTGTTATGTCCATATTGAAAGGTGCAAAGAATAATACATTTGAAGATGAGAAGAATGATGAGAAGTTGTTTGGTGGACTTTTAGTTTCCTCGTTTAATGAATCATCATGTGTTAGTAGGTTTCGATCTTATTTGTATCGGAAAGCTTCTCCTTTCAAACCATCTGAATATTTGATATACAAGCTACGAAACTATGAAAATCTTCATCGAAATTGTGGACCGTATACTAAGTCCTACAATGAAACCATGAAAGATGGTGCAAACTTTAGCAAAAGTGGTGTTGATTCGAAGTGCAAATATCTTGTATGGACAGCTATAGAAGGCTTGGGGAACAGGATGATATCCTTGGTTTCGACATTTCTTTATGCAATCTTCACAGATCGTGTTCTTCTTGTTAGATTTGACAATGACATGATGGATCTCTTTTGCGAGCCATTTCCGGATTCATCATGGTTGTTGCCCAAGAATTCTACTTATTGGAATGATTTGAGACAATTTAAAACATGGGATAGCATGTTTGTGAATAACAAGGGAAACGATCCACAGACAACTCTTTTTCTTGATTTGATGAACAACAATGTTCGTGTTACTAACCGTTTTCATTGTGATCAAAACCAGGTTCTTCTACAAAATATTCCCATTTTGATTTTACGATCAAATGAGTACTTTGCCCCTTCTCTTTATTTGACATACTCGTTTAGGCAAGACTTCAACAAAATGTTTCCTGACAAAGACACTACTTTTCACCTTCTAGGACGCTACCTTTTCCACCCATCAAATGTAGTGTGGGAACATATTCAGAATGTATATGAGGCACACCTAGCCAAGGAAAATGAAAGAATTGGCTTGCAGATTAGGATATATAATACCCGTCAAACCCCAGAAGAAACCATTATCAATGAAACTATATCTTGCCTCCAGCAAAATATGTTGTTGCCAAAATTCAACATGCAAAACTCATCGAGTCCTCCTTTGGAAAAGAATACCTCAAAAGTTGTTTTAGTGGTATCTTTATACTCAAAATATGGTGAGAGACTAAAGAGTATATATGAAAGTAATACAAGTTTAAGTCAGGAAGTAATAAAAGTGTATCAACCAAGTCATGAAGAGCATCAAAATTCAGGTGATAACATGCACAACATAAAGGCATGGAGTGAAATATACTTGTTGGGTTTGTGTGATGCATTGGTTACAAGCCCTACATCCACTTTTGGGTATGTTGCTCATAGTCTTGGAGGAATGAAACCATTGGTTTTGCAAAGTATATCTGGGAAAAGTATCCCAAAAGTACCTTGTCAACGACTCAAGTATATGGAACCTTGTTTCCATGATCCTCCTAATTATGACTGTATGGCCAATGCCACAGTCGATTTTACTTCTATTTTTCATAATCTTAAACGTTGTGAAGATCAATCAAGGGGAATGAAAATAATTAATACTTAAAACTAGTAAATTAGATAGTCTTGTTTATTTTACGAAGAATCCTTCTACTTATTAATTATATGACAATTTTGACACTATAATCCTTTTTACTACCATCAGACACTATCTCTCATTATTATTTATTTTCTATTTCTTTTAGAAATACAAAAGTTAATTTTTTATAAGACCTTTTTTTTTGTAAAAATTATCAAAATGGTGTTAAATACTTTTTTTTTAATTATATGACCATTCAAATTTTTAATGAATGATTTCAATTTAAGAAAAATTATTCTACAAGGCGAAATTACAAAAAGATAAAGTTTGTTGAACAATCCAATAAACCCTTATATATATATATATATATATATATATATATATATATATATATATTATTCTAAGGTGGATGAATGTGAAGGTGAAGGCGAGACTCAGATACAAAAAGATAGAATATGAAAGTATAAGTGTGTTAGATGAGAAGGATGAATATGAAGGTAAAAGTGAAGCTGAGATACAGAAGGAGAGAGTGAGTATGAATTTAAGATTTTTATTTTAGAAGAGTCTTCTTATTTAATTAAAAAGTGTTACAATTTTTATTATACACAATTAATTCATGAAATAAAAATATATCCATAAAATTATAATTAAGTTATAATATTATATATGATAGGTTAATATTATTTTATTACAAATACAAATTTTATATAATATATCAAGTATATATAAATCTGATTTATAATTATGAAAGTTAACTTCAAATCAAATTAGAATTATATGAAAGCTATAATGAAAAAACTTTCAAGACGTGTTTGTTGAATTTTTTTAATAAACATTCAACATAAAATAAATAAAATAAAATATTTTTTGTAAATTAAAATTAATTTATTATTCATAAAATATCTTACATTAATTTCTCTAAAATTTAACTTTTAACTCGTGTGTAAACTAATTTTAGGTTTATAAATTGGTTGACTAATTTAATAAAACATTTTATTGTTAAGTATTTTTAAAAATGTTAATAAATTCAGAAAATACTTTTTGAAATCTTAAAAGCTAAAAGTGTATTTTATGAATACATTTTAAGAGGTAAAAGAAGAAAAAAAGTGTTTTAAGAACTAATCTTGTAATATTCTTTCTACATCTAAAATGTATTTTCATTTTTTTAATATATTTTGGAGTCTATTTTTTACATATTGTAATTCAAAAGATGAGAAATGAATAAATTTGAGTAATTATTAATTTAATTTTTAATAGGTTTATCTGTATAAAACTACGTTGTTTTGTTATAATATGATAGTAAAGTGAAAATAATTATAAAACACGACGGTAAAATGTGTGGAAAAATAAATTGAATGGTACATTGTTCAAAAATTGAACACTAGATACTAAAATGTGAAAAAAGAATCTGAAAGATAAAATTCGAAAATAATGATAATCGAATGATAAAATGTAGAATTATGTCAAATATACTATTTTAATAACCTTTTATTGGAAAAACAATTCACAAAAATATCAAATTAAAAAATATTCTTTTAAATTATGAGAACAAATTAGCTCTCCTTTATAATCTTAAAGTATTCAAAGAATTTTGGTGTAGATGAGAACTTGCCTTTGTAAAAAAGAAATATTTTAAATTGATAGGAAAATAATATCATGTATCGTTTATGCTAACTTTTAACAATAATTATTAATTGGATTTTTTTATATTTTATGATTACTTTTTATTTATTTCACATTAAATGTGTATTATTATAGTTATTTATTTTTAATAGTCTTCTTAAATTATTAAAACATAAATTATTAGAATACATTTATATATGTGTTATTAATACTAATATACCAGTATCAGTTTACATAATATTAATTAATATAATCTAATTTAGTAGTATTATAGTGTATTTGTGGCTTCTATCATCATAATATGATGTTATAAAATTTGACTTAAGACCAAAAATCAGAAGTTGACCAAATTAGTCAACGAAGGTACTTCACATTATTAAATAATTTTAGGTAGACTAGTGAATGAGGTTGGTTGGGTTTTTTAGGAAACAAACTTGCTCATTTCCTTAATAAATATGTTTTCATCTTTTTGATTATTGTTTCTAATAAAATACAATTTTGATACAATAGTGTAAGTAAATTTTTTAATGTTCCATCATACTTGAATATTCAATGTACATATTTCTCTATTTAATATCTAATGTTGAATGCATGCCGGCAAATCAAGATGGGTGATGTAGGGAAGATTTTCAAGAGCTTCAAAATATTGTTAGTTGTAGCTTTCATAACCTTCTCTATCTTGGTCACATTTTTTGTCCTACACAAAAACTCAGTTTTTGACATCTTCAAAGAATTTAATGCATTTATAGAAGAAAAAAAGAATCTCAACATCAGTGAGCCGGTTATAGGTAAATTTTCACTTTAAAATTTATATTTTTATTATCAAATGTCATTGTTATAAAGATTTAAATATTATTGAAAATTATGTGATTTTATTTTATCATTTTCACAGATAAAGATCCAAAGAATAATACATTTGAAGCTGTAAAGGATGATCTGTTTCTATCTACTACCACCGGTAATGATAAGTTATTTGGTGGGCTTTTAGTTTCCTCATTTGATGAATCGTCATGCATTAGTAGGTTTCAATCTTATTTGTATCGAAAAGCTTCTCCTCACAAGCCTTCTAAATATTTGATATCCAAGTTACGAAACTATGAACATCTTCATCAACGATGCGGACCTTATACTAAATTCTACAACGAAACCATGGAAAATGATGCAAAACGTAGCAACAATTATGTTGATTTAAGGTGCAAATATCTTGTTTGGATAGCCTCAGATGGCTTAGGGAACAGGATGATATCCTTGGTTTCAACGTTTCTCTATGCAATTCTTACAAATCGTGTTCTTCTTGTTAGATTTGACGTTGATATGTTAAATCTCTTTTGTGAGCCATTTTTTGATTCCTCATGGTTGTTGCCCAAGAATTCCCCTTATTGGAATGATCTAAAACAATTTGAAACACATGAAACCCTATCTATGAATAATAAGAAAAACAATTCACTTGAGTTTGTGCCACCGGTTCTTGTTCTTGATTTAACACACACCCATGTTGGTCATACTAATCTTTTTCATTGTGATCAAAATCAAGATCTTCTGCAAAAAGTTCATGTGATGATCTTACGGTCAAATCAATATTTTGTCCCTTCTCTTTTCATGATATCCTCTTTTAGACAAGACTTGAACAAAATGTTCCCTGATAAAGACACAATTTTTCACTATCTTGGAGGATACCTTTTTCACCCATCGAATAGGGTATGGGAACGGATTCGAAAATTGTATGAGGCAAACCTAGCCAGGAAAAATGAGAAGATTGGCCTACAAGTTAGAGTATTTAATATCCACCATCCACCAACACAAACCATTACCAATGAAATTATATCTTGTGTCCATCAAGCTAAGTTGTTGCCAAAATTCGACGTGCAAAGCTCAATGAATCATCATTTAAAAAATAATACCTCAAAAGTTGTTTTAGTAGTATCTTTATACTCTCAATATGGTGAGAAATTAAAGAGTATATATGAAAGTAATACAAGTTTGAGTAGAGAAGTAATAAAAGTGTATCAGCCAAGTCATGAAGAGCAACAAAATTCAAATGATGACATGCACAACATTAAGGCATGGACTGAAATATATTTGTTGAGTTTGTGTGATGCATTAGTTACAAGCTCGATGTCCACTTTTGGGTATGTTGCTCATAGTCTTGGAGGATTGAAGCCATGGATTTTACAACCTATATATGGGGAAACTGTACCAGATCCACCTTGTCAACGAGCCAAGTACGTGGAGCCTTGTTTTCATTATCCTCCAAAATATGCTTGTAAGACTAATGTCACAGTCGATTTTACTTCTCTTTTTCATCATATTACACATTGTGAAGATGTATCTAGTGGAGTTAAAGTTACTAATGTTTATGACTAGGTAACAAATAATCTAGATAATCTTATTTATTTTGTCAATAATACTCAAACTTGTTAATCGAATAACTATTAAAAATTTTAAAGAATAATTTGAATTTTAAAAAAATTAAAGTATACAAGATACAATTACAAAATAAATAAAAAATCTTAAAACAATTGAATTAATAAAGAAATAATAAACTATTCAACATATAACAATAGTAAATCAGTGATCCTATTTCTTTTAGTTTTTTAATCATTAAAACTTACATCTAATTTTCAAGTTGAAGTTAAAGTTTTTCCAAGTTAATTACTAAACAAAACACTTTACATTCCACTTTAAATGTTTCTCCCCAAATCACTTTAATATAACCTAAAAAAATCTAAAACACTACTCATTTGAAACCAAATATACCTTCAAAGAAAAAAAGAAATATGAGAAAAGAAAACAGTAATTATAATAAAAATACTTTCAAAAGTCTCATTTGTTTTTGGTAATGATTTTTTGTATAAATATTTTAAAAATAAAAATAAAATAATATAAACTTCTTTATAAATTATTCATAAAATAATTATACATTATTTTTTCTAAAATTTAACTTTTAACTCTGTAAACTAGTTTAGGTTTATAAATAAGTTAATTTCCTTTTGCAAAAATAAGTTTTGTTTTAATCTAAAAAGGTTTAAGAATATGTTTCCTACAGTACCTTCAAAACAAAATTAAGACGATACTCTTTAACTATATTATCTTTCAATTTGTTGATTAATAACTATTAACATGATAATTGTTAGCATTTACCTTAAAATTACATTTTTTTATTAATTAAAATAGAAACAGTAATTAGCGAATAGAAAAATGAGATCACAGTCGTCGGAAAGCTTTCCATTCTTTTTTGTGTTGCCGACAGATGTGAAAACATATGTTACAGTAATAGTTACAGGAAGCAGTTGTATTGTAAGAGTGCAAAGTTGGTTTCTGGAGAAAATAAATTATTGCTGAATCTGCTCGTAATTTGCATAGCTTCTTTCTCGCATTCTCAATTTCTTTCTACCGATCAAATTCGATTTCGACCCAAAGAGAAGTTAAATTCTGAGGATCTGGCTTCTGTCGCTGTAGCCCTTTCTTTGGTTTGTAGATTTTCAATGTGCATGTTGATGCAGCGAAGGCAATCAATCAATTACTTAATTGATATCTGAAGCTGCTTCATACAAAGTTGTGATGGATAAAGTAGGGCGTGGTTTCAAGAGCTTCAGAACATTATTGGCTGTGGCTTCTATAATCTTCCCTGTTTTGGTCACATTTACTCTCATACACCAGAACTCAGTTTTCGATCTCGTCCATGGATTTAATGTTTTGGCTGTTAGAGCTCACAATGCTTCTAATATTGTCTTGAAACAAGGAGCTCAAAATGCGATCACTACTAATGTCGTGCAGGAAGGAGCTCAAAATGCCTCAATACAAGAGTTTCAAAATGCTACAGTTAAAACTGGGGAAGAAAAGGATCATAATGTTATTCCAGACTCAGCCCCTGTTGGTAACTCTACTGTTCTTCAATTTATTCCTTTAACTCATCACTAGTTACTCTGTTTGATATCTTAACATCTGTTCTGATCTCTCTAAATTACATGTTAGATAAGGTTTTGGAAAACAAAAATCAGAATTCTAAGCCTGGAATCTTAGAAGAACCAGCTCAGGCACTACCTCTCTTAGATCTTGGTAACTTATAATCTTACTTCTACCTTAATTTCAAGATCACTATACGGGTCTTCTTGTTATAAATGTTATGTAAAATTGTGGTTTTTTGTTTGTGTGTTTATTTATGCATGTACAGGTCCAAAGAATAATTCATCTGAAGATGGGGAGAATGTTTTGTCCCTATCTACTAGCATCACCATTTCTAAAGACAAACTCCTTGATGGGCTTCTGGTTTCATCATTTGATGAAGCATCATGCTTTAGTAGATATCAATCTTACTTGTACCGCAAAAGTTCCTCTCACAAACCTTCTAGATATCTTATCTCCAAGTTACGAAAATATGAACATCTTCATCGAAGTTGTGGACCTTCTACCAAATTCTACAACAAAATCATGAGAAAGGGCACAAAATTTAGCAATAATGATGTTAGTACGAAATGCAAATATCTTGTCTGGACAGCTGTCAATGGATTAGGGAACAGAATAGTAACCTTGGTTGCAGCATTTCTTTATGCTATCCTTACAGATCGTGTTCTGCTTGTCAAATTTGGGACCGATATGTCTGGTCTCTTTTGTGAGCCATTTCCTGATTCCTCATGGTTATTGCCCAGGAGTTTTCCTTATTGGAAAGATCAGAAGCATATTGAAACATATGAAAACATATTAAACAATTTCAAGGTAAACAGTTCACAGGTACTTCTGCCACCATTTCTTATTCTTAATCTACAGCACTCCCATGACCGTCACAATAATTTTTTTCATTGTGATGGAAGTCAAGATCTTCTTCAAAAAATTTCAGTGCTGATTTTACGGTCAGATCAATACTTTGTCCCTTCTCTTTTTATGATTCCATCGTTTAGAGAAGAACTAAGTAAAATGTTCCCCCAGAAGGACACAGTTTTTCACCATCTTGGACGTTACCTTCTTCACCCATCAAACAAAGCATGGCAAATAATTAGAAAAATTTATGAGGCACATCTAGCCAAGGCAAATGAGAGGATAGGTCTGCAGATTAGACTTTTTAATACTCATCGACCACCACATCAAACTGTTGTTAACCAAATAGTATCCTGCACCCTTCAGCATAAGTTGCTGCCTGATTTCAACGCACAAAAGTCAGTGGCTTCTCCTTTGAAGAAGACCTCAAAAGTTGTTTTAGTAGCATCTTTATTCTCAGAATACGGTGAGAAGCTGAAGACTATGTATCAGGCAAATAGAACTGTGACCAGGGAAGTAATAAGAGTTTATCAGCCCAGTCATGAAGAGCGTCAAAAGTCAAATGATGACATGCACAACATCAAGGCATGGACCGAAATATATTTGCTGAGTTTATGTGATGCATTGGTTACTAGCACTAAGTCTACTTTTGGTTATGTTGCTCATAGTCTTGGAGGTTTGAAGCCATGGATTTTGCAGAGGGGATATAATGAAACCATCCCAGATCCACCTTGTCGACATGCCAAGTCCATGGAGCCCTGTTTCCATTATCCACCCAAATATGACTGTAGGGCCAATAGCACAGTTGATTTTACTTCCCTTTTTAATCATATGAAGCATTGTGAAGATGTATCTGGTGGATTGAAGCTGGTTAATGGTAATCACTAGGTAACAAACCAACATGATGCCAAGCACTGGGCTATTTGCTTTGCCAACCTTTCAATAATCCTTCTTTGCTCTAATATATTACTACTTTGGACAGTTTTTGAGGTTGTCAAATGGACTGTAACTGATTAGGTTCCTGTTATCCACAATGTAGCCTTGTTCTGCGGAAGGGTTGTCTCTGATCAAACCGGTTTCACCATATTGAATGAGTGGTATTGGAGGTGGAATTCTAATACATCATCAATGACAATATCAAGGCTATTATTTATGGAGTTTTTTTACAGCAGGGATATGATGGTGTTGGTTCTCCATACTCAGAAGGGCCATTGTAGATATAATTCAATCTGAGAAGCATGTTTTGTCAACAGAAATCCGAACAAGGTATTTGCATTATTCAATATCGCTATGGCAAACTTAGATAGTTGAGTCTAGGAATTCTGAATGTCTGCCAATTTTGCTGCGGAACTATCTCGAGGCATGTAATAATTAGTTTAGCTAGAATGTTTCTTGCAAAAAAAAACTGCTTTTCCCCCTTGTTTTAACTGTATGTATTCCATATCTTACATTATTTAATGGTAAATTTTAGGATTTTTGTTGTGTTTGAACAATCGAATTTAGTTGTTATATGCATAAATAACTTGATGATACGCAATCTTAAAAAAAATATAATTTGGAAGTGTCAAGCTGTACAAAAGTTGAATTGTCAAATATATAAAATATACTAAAATAAAAAAATAGTTCATTAATTTATGTCTATGTAAAAGATAATTGGGGCCATGGTCCAATTGGAATACAATGTTAAGGTTTCAAAAAAAAAATTAAGGAAATTTAACACCAAACTAATAAATTTTAAATGAATAAATTTATTAGAAATAAAATCAATTTAATATATATACATATATATATATATATATATATATATATATATATATTATAATTCTAGAAGATTGAATTTTATTTCAAATTTACTCTTTTTAACCATTTTTTTAATATTGACATCCTTATCTATTAAGAGAAATTGATTGGTAACTTTTTTTTTTTACAAAATATTAAAACACCACCTACACTTCAAAATGGATCAATGGAAAATATATAATTCACTTTAAATTCGTAACATATAACATATTTGTTATTTTTTTTAAATATGAATATTTCTATCAATAAATTATGGTTAATTTAAAATCTCTAATTTATATTAAATTCGTAACATATAACATATTTTTTATTTCTTTTGAAAAGTTTATGAATATTTCTGACAACAAATTATAGAAAGATTAACTTCTTTGGAAAAAGTAATTTATATAAATTCCAGGTGACACAAATTGAATTTGACTTCTTTTCTTTGAAAAACAAAGTAATTAATTTTTCGCTTTCACGTATAAACTGTAAACCTAATCATACAAACAAACCACTGACACTAATTAAATAATTCGGGTAAATTTGTGGATTTTTTATTTAAATAGTACCAGTACACTAAATTTAGTCTCATTAATAATATTAGTGATTTTAAAATTCAGTCATCATTATTCATTAATAAAAGTAGATATACTCATTATTTTATACAAATAAATAAAAAAATAAAATTTAATATTATAAAAACTAGAAAGTTGTTTTGTTTATAAGCATATCAACAATATGTTTCCAGTGTCAACTTATATAAAAAGGTAATAAAATTGTCACCTGTGTGACAGAAAAATATTGGACAGAAACCCTAACCCTAATGTATGGGCGCTATCAGCATTTTAGCCTTTTGTTCAATCCGTAGTAAAAGAAAATGTTGTCTATATTATATTTTGATTTACATGTTTGAAAGTAACAAAAAATACATGTGAAAAAAAGGTAATCATAAAAAGAATATTATAAATAAAATATAAGTATAAAGATGATATTAAACATTGAAAATTATTAAATTATTTTTTATTATTTATAGCAATATATAATAAAGATTTCTCAATGTACACAAATTTGTTTCTATTTTATCTTAATAATATTTTAAAATTGTACTGTAAAATTCACTATAAAAGATATCGATGTAAAAAAATAAACATAAAAGAAAATAAAAGGAAGCAAATAGTGAAAATTTTATTTCATTTTAATAATCTGACATATACATAATAAAGGTCAGTGTTATTTCGGGTATATGTAAATTTTTTGTTGATAATAAAAAATAAAAATTATTATTATTACAATGAGAAGTAATTATTGAATATACAACAATAAAATCATATAAAATATATAAAAATAATTTATTTTCTTATTATTTTCTACAAAAACTATATAATAAAAATATTTTTAATTCATTTATCTCTTGTGTATATTATAAAAATTAAATAGTAAAATAATGTTTTGGTTGGAGGATTCAAAGCAGGGTTTTAAGGATCAGTAGAGACATGCCAGAGTGTGGATTGCAGACATCTGAGTGCCGGCATATCTTCTTATCCATCTTTAGGTATTCTATTCTCGTTCATCCTTCGTCTTTATCCCTTCTTTTCCTGTTAAATCTGCAACTGCACAATTTCTTGTTCTCAAATTACACTCTATTTCTGTTATGCCATGATTTTGTTCTAATTGCGGTTAACTAATCATTAAAGGATGATGATAAGATTGATTGCATCTCTGGACCCTCTTATTTCTGGTTCCTATGATGTTTTATTGGTTGATTTGTGTCTCAACAGTAACATTCTTGCGCACTGTAAGCCTTTACCTAATTCCTTTGTTAAGAAAATAAGACAAATTGAAAGTGAAGTGGTGAAGAGAATTGATAGGTTCAGGAAATCATTTTTGTTCTTTTTTAAACATAGAATGTGGTCATCACAGCTTATCATTATAAATAGGTTCAGGAAATCTCATTTTTGTGTTTATTTCCTTTTGTTTAACGGGCCAATGCTCTCGTTACAGATTCAAGCCAGAAGAAGCTATGAAGTCGTTCAATATAAATGGAACTACTCTTTCTATTGCACTCTACACTGATGTAACCAATTCAAAGTAAGTCTTTCTCTCTTTATCATGGGCTTGTTGCCGTTGAGTATAAGCCAAGATTCTTTGATCAAGTTGTTTGTATATTTAATCAAATTTTAGATTTCTTTTATCATGGCAGCTGTCTAGAAGGTATTTGTTATTAACCGAATTATGTTAAAGTCAAATTTCTTTATTGTGCCATTAGGCATGGATGTGATACGGGAATGATTTTTTGGGTAACTTTGAAATATTGCTATCTATAAGACACAACATAAGGTATCACTTCATCTGGAAGTTCAGTTTAAACGTTGTTGGAGTTTGATTTGCATTTGCTTGTTATAACAAGTAAGAACATTATGCACCAGTAGTGCGGTTGCAATAGCTAATATGTGGTAATTGATGAGCCAGTTGCTCTTAGACGATTGTTTCTAGATGGCGTTTGGCTGATTGCAAAAGTTTTGCTATTTATGGTCATATGCCAATTATAAAAGTAAATATACAGAGCACATTATAAACGACTTTATCTATTTATCTGTAGTTGATTCAAAAGATTGTGGACCTGCTCTTAGCTAAAGTGTGTTATGTAATTGATATTCTCACAGAGAACTCTTGGAAAGCATGCAAACCGGGACTCTGGAGCCAGAAGTTGCATTCCTCAATGCTTTACTTGTATGTTTTCTTATTGTTTGTGTTTTAGGTCATCTTCAGCAACATTTACAAGAGGATCAAAATAATTTTTTGTCATTTACTAACACAAGAAGGCGATGCTATTAGAGAAAAGTATGCAGAAGTATTTATAGTTGGATCCACCAATTCCTAAAGAGGATTTAATAGTTTTACTCGTTTCTTTCTTTTTCAATTCGTGACTACCATCTCATTTGAGTATGTAACACGAGAAGATCCTAATGATGCTGGTGCATAAATTTTCAGCAATGACAATTAACAACACTTTTTCTTTTTCTTCTGATTACCATTGTTGTCAACTGAACCAGATTCCAAATATTTTCCCTGTCCTAGCGGCTGCTCACAAGACACTTGTAGCCAAGTCACGAGACTCATTGACCACACGCACTCCTCATTCAGAGCTCGTTTACAACTACTCAGGGTCCAAGCATGTAATTATGCATTGCTATTTAACCTGTTATGTTTCATATTTCCCCTTAGATTACTTACGTTGGCATTTCTTGGGACTAGATTACTGAATCTTTGAAAAGATGTGGCATCTCTGACAGCACAACTTATATCCTTGCTGCTCGATTTGATGCTTCTCCTGATGAGGTGAGATAATTCTACATTAAAATATGGCACACATTTATTTCTTTCTGTCACCCAGATAACTAAAGTGATCTCTTTATCTTTACTAGATACAAGCTATAGAGAAGCTCATCAATGGCAAAGAGATCGACCTGGAGGAGCTAGAAGGGAGAGCAAACCAATCCCAGATACAAAAGGTCTGTAATAGCTCTGATCCAAATGACTTTTTATCTTTTTTGTGCATGTATAGCATATTCAGTCTTTTGTTGTCATTCAGCATTACAAGATATCTGCATCGGAACTTGGAGTATCATCACTTGCTGATGCAATAGTTTGCCGAATAGCTGCTCGTGATGCCTTGTGAGAAGAATGAATGTGATCTGTTGTATACTACCAGTTTCCCTATCTCTCCTTGATCGACTTTAGAACATTCAAGAAATTTTTAAAGAAAGATTTAGGCTTGCATAATATATACTTTAGCATTCGTGTGTGATAATTATGATTTTTTTTTTCAATTGTCTTTCTTACTGCATTGACATTTGTTGTGGAAAATCTGAAAGTTAGGTGGTCAGTTTGATCTGGTCGTGAAGCGCATGTCGGTGTTTTCTTAATATTACCATTTTGGTAATTCCATTTCCACAAAACGTAGGATTCTTTCTTGGAAAATCCAAGATTTATTCTCTTCGTGATATCTAAATATTTATCAGCTAACTCGACATTTTTACTTTTTACTCTATATTCATGGATATGAGAGTGATAATCAACTTTACAAACCATTGTCAAAATTACTTTTTTTTGTCATTCAAATCGATTGACTTTATAAACTAATTGAACAAAACTTTGAAGAATAACACTCTTAATAGACCCGTGAATTAAAAGAGAACTCGATTAGAAGGAACGAGATTTCAAACAGGACGAGAACAATGAAACTGAAATTGAATGACATTATTATTCCTATTACCCAGGAAATACTAATCTCATCAATGAAAAATATGTACGTAACTCGATATTCCTATTATTGTTCCTATTAATTTTCTTGAGGATAAAAATTATATATCAATATTCATTTAAAAAAAATTATTAGTAGTATCATAATAATTATAGCACGTATATAAATACATGATGAATATGGATATAAAATTTGAAAGACTGTTTTGACTTTAATATTTTTAAGTAAAAGGGTCTATATACATATTTTTTGAAAATATTTTTTAAACGTAAATAAAAAAAAGTCAATATACATATTTTTTGAAAATATTTTTATTGTATATAATGATGAGTTTTAACTGCTATTATTATTAAAAAAATTAAAAAGTAAAAAATAAATTGTTTTCTATTGTTAATATATTTGAATTGCGTGAGATAGAAAAAATGTGTTTGAGGATTCAAAGCAATGTTTTAAGGATCGGTGGAGACAGGGTAGCTTGAAGAATCGCAGACATCTGTGAGTCATCTTTAGGTATTCTCTCTTTCATCCTTCACCTTTACCCCTTCTGTTCCTGTTAAATCTGCAACTGCACAATTTCTTCTTCCTCAAATTACACTCTATTTCTGTTATACGATGATTTTATTTCAATTAGTTAACTAATCACTAACAGATTATGATAAGATTGATTGCATCTCTCAGCACCTCTTATTTCTAGTTTCTATGATGTTTTATTGGTTAATTTGGGTCTCGATCGTAACATTCTTGCACACTTTAGAGCCTTTTCTTAGTTTTTTTTAGGGTTCAGGGTTTAGAGTATTGTGAATTGTGAGTGTGTTGGGGGGCTGGGGTTTGCATATCAACAGTTCTAGGCGACATGGTATGGTAGATTATTTATGCACATGCATGTTTGTTTCAATGTCCATGGTTTGCAGCATTACACTAAAATTTTGATTCAATCATGCAGTTATAAGCAATATTTAGTATTTTTCTTTTTTCAATTTTCACATTCTCTACTGTTTCTTCTTATTTGTGGGTTAGTAGAGTGAAATAAAATATTCTGTTCTGTGTGGCACTGGTTTTTCATTTTCTTATTTACTTTTGCTGGTATTAACGCTCTATGCTTTTCTCTCGCTTTCTCCTTGGGCTTCTGGTTTATTTTCTTTTCTTCTGGGTTTGGCTTTGAGTTTCACTTTGTATTTTCCTTGGCTGTGTTGCTACGTGGTTGCATGTCTGTTCTTGGCATCCTCTACGCTTTTCTCTTGCTTTCTCCACCTCACTTGTGCTTTATCTTTTTTTCTTCTGGGTTTGTTTATGAGTTTCACTTTGTATTTTCCTTGGCTGTCTTGCTATGTGATTGCATATCCGTCCTTGGCCTGAGCTATACTAAATTGTTTTCTCTTGCTTTCTCCCCCTCACTTCTGCTTTATCTTTTTTTCTTTTGGGTTTGATTATATGATTTTCACTTTGTATTTTCCTTGGCTGTATTGCTATGTGATTGCATATCTGTCCTTGGCATGAGCTATACTAAATTGTTTTCTGTATGTATTTTCTCCTGGGCTATACTGTGGCTTCTCTTGAGTGGGTTGTTAGTCAGGTTGGATATCTGCCTAGATGCTTCCAGAACTTAGATATATTTCTCATTATCACTATTTAGATCCAAAACATACCCATTGGGGGAGACTAGACTAGGCCATAGTTTTCCCGTATAATTTGCACTTCTGTTTTATATGGTTCTTATTTTAGATATTGTATTTTGAATATAATATAGTCTGAGCTATATCTTAGAATAGCTTCAATATGGCATGCTACATGGCATATTATTTACAGTCAGTCCAGCAACCTATAGGCAAATGAACTTTTCACAAATAGAGACTTCTGTTTTGTGAAGGATAGATTAGAATAACTGATTTGGAATTGTTTATCATAATGTTTTCTAAATCATGTTTAGCACTTATAAACTAGAGAAGCACCCTCAAGACTAAAATTAGAGACATATATTTGCAACCACACGCCATTGATTTTGAAAATACTTCATTAGTAATGTTAGTGATCTCCTTGAGCATATGCCAGTGGAACTTCTTCACAACCATTGGCCTACCACAAAATTTAAAACTACTTCTCATATGATTTTACCTAAATGCCGATTTGTTTATTTCTGACAGTGATTCTTGCTAAAGCGATTTCTCAATAGCAGACATTCATCGCAAACACTTGAGCACCTATGGGTATAATTAGAAGTTGCTTCTCTTTCATAGCAGGGACAGTATGTGGGGTTTATTTGGCTCAGAATTATCAAGTTCCTAATATCATGAAGTTTGCTGACACTGCCTTGTTCATGGCAAAAGTTGTGGAGGAAAAATACCGCAAGCCCAAGAAGAGGGATGATGATGATGATGTTTAGTTTGTACTTGGTGCCATATTGGAATCAGATTCTTGTTTTGTTTTTTCCTTATAGAAATCCGTGATTATTGGATCGAATACCTCAATTATAAGCTTTTGGAAAACATAAATTGGAAGATTTTTATGGAAGCATAGCAGTTATATCCTCATTATTTTGTCCTTTCTAAGGAAACATTCGCATTCTTCCGCAGTCTTCCTGATCTGACTCTTGCACTGAGACACAGTTGATAGGTATCATATACCCAGTTTCTTAAATCTGGGAAACTAGGATAATAAGATAGCTCCAGGGCAGAAATCTGTTGTTCATGGTCATGAGAGTTGTATTACCGTTTATGGGCTTGATAACAAATATTTTTGGTGTGCATTTGAGTTTCTGGTTTAACTAGTTAACATGATGTCCCTACTACTTTTGTGGACTCTAATTTTTCATTTACGCTTATGCATTCCAATGCATACAGTAACAAGACTTAATTGTTATTGTTGTTTACTTGTGCCCCTTATAAACGCACAAAATTTTTGCCCATGCCATCCTCTTTTCAGTATGTATTGGCATGCTTCTCATTTAACAAACATGGAAGGTCTACTTAAATAACCGATGATCTCCTCTCAAAAGGCTAAAGTTCTTGGAATCGGATCTTTTTGTCATTATTATTCTTTTTCTTTTATAACCCATCTAACGTAGAAAGGGTAATCTTAAAAGAAGCGACCTCAAAAGAGTCCTTATGGAAATACTTATGGGATTGGGTCACATTAAGTGTATTTGTTACTAATTAAATCTTTTCTTCTTAAAAGGCCAATCCTCCAGTTTTTGGATTGTTTTGAGGCATGGGATCAAACTATTTATTTAAAGAAATGGGCTTAGTCACCATTGGTCCAGCATCATTTGATTGAAGGGGCTTTCTTCCTGCACCCTATCTTTTTCTTTCTGCACTTCCAAATATCACTATGATCCCCATTATAACCCTATAGAATATATATTTAAATTATTAAATTAATTAAGCAGTAATTATTGCTTTTCCTTCGTAATTACTGTTAGTATGCTATATTTACTTCTTTTCTCAGTACTTCCAAGTTATTTTCATAAACCATATTTAATAGTGTTTTTTTTTTCCTTTCAACCGGTTTTTCATTTTGAAATCTTAAACTCTAACATTTAAACTCTAAACTAGTATGCTTAATCCTAAATTCTAAATTCAAAAATTTGAATGATTGCTGAGGAAGAGGGTGTGAGGGATGAGTGGTGCTAGATTAAATGCGAGAGGTAAGGGTTGCTGAGTGAATAAATAAGGAAAGAGAAGGTAATTATATTTTTTGCCGATCAAGTGAAAACATTATTGAAATTTAGAACAAAACGTGAGGTGCAGGAAGAAAGCTCCTCGATTGAATGTATTCAACATTGTTAATGATTACATTTTATGGTTATCTTGATGAATTATGTTGAGACATAAAATTTAAAAAACATATTTTGTCTACACCACCAACAAATAAAATATTCCTCTCTAGTTAAACCATCGTTCAATATCATCACTATTATTAAAGTATCTTAACTGGAAAGTATAAGCAGTGAAAAGAAATTCTAATCATACTTTTAAGAGTTTTTAATTTATTTCTTACTTTCCTGTTTGATATTCCCTCAAAAACATTCGCACTTAAAAGTTTCACTTTCAGTTTGAAGAATGTCTTTTCACATCAAATAACTCAAGGTTGCAGGTCATTTTCCACTGGTGGATAAACTAAGTATATGAACATGTTAAAAATTGGTAGTACTTCAAAAAATTAAAATCATTTTTAGGTACAGAGCAGACGAAAGGGAAACACTAACTAATAATGAAAGCAGCATCTAAAGCATCCACCAGAGAGCTGGGTTAATGTTGAAGTAACCCAATTGTTTGATTATGTGGAACATAAATTTCGTACTCATTTCATGTTTTTTAAGTTTATAAAAGAAGTGAAAACATAAGACTATGTCAGAAGTAGTTTTTGCTATTTTTCTGCACAAACTTCTTAAAAAATGAAAAAATATCCTCCCCACCAAATAACTTAAGTTTAGTAAAAGGAAAGAAAACGGTAGACATGTCAAAATGAATTACAATATGCTTACTAACTCAATCCATTATGAGTTTGGTTTGGGTTGAATTTAAAAAATACAAGTTAATTTTCAATTCGACTTATTTAAATTCAATTCATTAGAGTTGAATTTGTTGTGAATTGGATTGATTCAGTAATCCATTTAATTTTATTTTATTAATTTAAAACGGTACTGTGTAATGTTTGGTCTTCCTCAACGATAATTAATGTGCTTGAACTGCAGAGGAATATTAATTAATGGCAAATAAAAGAGTGAGATAATTAAGAGAGAAATTGAAGCAAATAAGAGATAAGGTCTTGGTGGAATGTAGTTGAAAGAGGTCCCACGCGTTGTACCTGTACCCATGTTCTTTTGCTCACAAACTGCTGAAGCACGAAAAAAGTTCACTATGTTTGCGTGCAGTGTATTAGGAATAGCAACATTCCACCTGTTATTCTCTTAGACAGCTAATTATGTCTATGTGCACTTCCCTTTTCTGGGTTTGGGAGTGGGACAGTCAGGAACTAAAGTAACAATGACAATGCCATGTTTGGTAGTGCAAATTGTTGGGTCTATCCAGAGAGAAAATTCACTTAGGAGATACAATATCAATGCGACACGTAAATGGAACTACATAAAGAATTGACATTGTATCATAAGACTAGACGATCCTAGATGATAGGTAGAGACTGGAGCGGCTTAAAGGTGTAAGGTACCAGGAACAAAGCAGTCCCGACTTACCGAGCCGAACGACCCATGTTGGTAATCAAGTTTTCTTAGAAACAAAGTTAGAGGTAAGTATTGATTAAGTGTAATGGACTCATATTGGATCGTAATTAAAGTTTTACTAATCTCAAAATCGTCTTTACAGCTATAAATAAAGGTCAAAAGTAAGAGGTAGATGATCGCATTTACTGTTCATTTAAGACTATTGTTCTGATCCTGTACGAACTATTTGTTGACTTAAGTATCGAAGTGTCTTTGGCAGGTATCCTCGATCGGTTGGAGTGAAGTCGAAGACAGAGTGAAAATACAATTACCCGAACTGCGTTGGAAAGGAAATTATGCAGTAGTTTACTTACTTGACCCTACACCCGAAACAGACATCATTTTCTACTCAAAACCTTAAGAAAATGGACTAATGGATCTTCACTTTTTCATTACTACTCAATAATATAGAACTTAAACTCACTTAAAATTCTAACACAATTGCAGAAGACCCTTTGGGCCTCCACTATGTGAACACCGCTCTAACATACATATTTACCTTCAATTTTGTTTGTTACATTCTTAAGGGCTTTGGATCAATAAGAAAGCGTGAGCTTGTGAGGTGTTTATCGTTCTAATGATATTGATATCCAAAAGTAGAAAGTAGAAAAAGCAGAAAGCAAAGCTTCAACGATTAAAGGTCAATCATAGGTCTGCTAGCATGCAAAGAGAAGGACGAACAAGAGTTTCTTTATTCTAAGATATTCCAACTTCTGAGATATTTCACCCCTTTTCTGTCACAACTAAACGATCAACTCGACCAAAGGTTTCATGGCTGTGCTAAAAATAAATTGAGCAAAAGTAAAGCTAGAGAATTTACTTTACCTTTATTTGTTTGACGGTATTTTTTTTTTCTGCACATCCTAATTTACTTTAACTATAAGTAACACAATTGCTTAAGATAGCAAAATCAAAAATCAGTTTCACCCTTTCGAGTAACTTTTTACCAAACCATAGACTTGACCAGAGAGCAATTTTTCTTTCCCATAACGTGATAAAGCGTTCCTGCTTGCATTTACAAGACATTTGCCAGAGTAACTTTTATTTTGATACAATAATACAGTTTTGAATAATTCGTGTTGGATAATACAGTTTTTTTCTACTCGAAATATACAAATATCAATTAAATCTGAATCTAACCACTACTTTCTACTCAAAATCTTAAAACTATAGATTAATAAATCTTTTGTTGAAAGTATCCGTTGACTAGAGATAAGGTCAATTTATAGGTTATAAGTGAATGCAAACCTCACCTTACAAGTCGTTTTTGTGGGATTGAATTAGGCTTAAAGTCCACTCCTAACATCTTTATATAATGTTTTTACTTTCTCATTTCTATACGAGTCAAACTTGAATATTCAACCGATTTGAATAAAACTATAGTTCAAATAATCTATTACACAGAACCACGTTATCTTTATATCTATATGTCTAGCATAATATCTATCTTCAACCAGGACCCGAATAAAAAGGATTACTTAATGAAAGTTGTTCACATATGATGCCGTATTTTAGTGCGACATGGGTCCGGAGCTGCAATGTAAGGAATGATGGAAGACAAGATATGGTGGTTATCCAAGGATGTGTGTGAAGTGCGAACCTCTTCTGCTAAAATTTACTGAACAAGAAAGAATTAAAAAGAGTGGTATCTCTAGATTCTAAGCAGTGCACGTGGCCTAGTGATGGCGTATCGGACAAAATAACTGCGCATAAAATAATGTTTGATGTTTTCAAACCAATTAACATCTGTAATGCATAATAATACAAATAATGTTCATTTCCCCACACATTATCACACACTGAGTAGAATTTGCCTTCCTTTTTTTGTCTCTCCCTCGTCTTCACGTAAGTGATCCCAAGACTCTTTAGTCAAAAGCAGCTTGGGTCCCTCCCTCCCTTCCCTTTTTCTAATCCTCATTTCCCAATCGCTAATCTCATAAGTGCATAGAAACCATAGCATAAATCAAGGAAAATGATAAAAACAAAAGAGAGTTAAGAATAGTAGAAGACAGCTCCTACTCTGATGATTATCTATTTGTAAAGCGATCTGCTTTGGATACCCTTTGAAAACACAAAGAAAAGGAAATGAAAAACCAGAATGCCCATCTCCATATTACTCTTCTGTTACTTTTTCTTCTCCACTGCTTTCTGTGATCACCATTCTCTCATCCACACAACACGCCATGCCTTCAAGACCCTTTCCTCCCACAAGTCCCACCAAAACCAAGGCCCTCTTCCTAGCACTCACCATTTCAGCTTGTGTTGTTATTTTCTGCTCGATTGTTTACTT